AAAAAAAAAAAAAAAAAAAAAAAAAAAAAAAAAAAAAAAAAAAGAAATTACTCGAAACCTGCATCTGCATGCATGTGATTCTACATTCAGCCACGTATTATTATTATTATTATTATTACAAACATCGAATGAAAGGGGGATGATGTTTCAAATATGAATCGGTGGAGTCAGTCGGGTCCATTACCAATCATATATATAATATGTTAAAAAAAAAAAAAAAAAAAAAAAATCAAACGGTGCATGTTGAACCAAGTCAAAGGTAAAATGAAATGAAATTGAATTTGGGTGAGTAAAAGTAATTAAAAATATTTTTGTATGATACCTCCGCGAGCCGCGTGCGTGCTCATTCTGTTCATGTTGCGTCAACACATATTGGGACGTGGGTTTACGTTGAACCTCTGTGTCCATTCATTTCCCCCTTCATCTCTTATCTTCTCCATCCAACCATTCTCCCCTCCCTATATAACTAACCATCACCCATCCTATTCTGTCACGCTCTCTCCAATTATATATCCCATCCCCCTCCCTTTTCGCCTTTTCGCCGCACTATTCGACCCAGCGCAAATATGATACATACGTTAAACCAGGTAATTGATTGGTTTATAATTATTATTATTGAAAAATTAGATAATATATTTTACAAAAAGGGTTAGAATAAGGATAGGGAGTGTGTGGGGGGATTGAAGTTCTCTCTTTTGTGTTAAGAGCTGTTATGTCTGTACACAAGAATGGGCACACAGCGAACCTTATGTTTCTTTTTATTTATATTTTTATTATATACCTCTTCATAATTTAACTGTAATTGTCTCTCTTTGTTTTTTCAGAAAAGTTCCAAGTATCTAAATAAATAATTCCCTTTTCTTTTTATATATTATATTCAAATTCTTTTCTTTTCTTTCTAATAATTCATTTCCTTAATTATTATTGCATTTATAAATTAGTAATTAAAATTAAGTTTAAATCCCTTGGTTCCTAAGATAGACACCAACCTCGCTGTCATCTATTATCCTTATTTGCTGTAATTTTCCATGTTACCGCCACGTCCCATCAACACAAGGGTGAAATATATTTTTTATTATTATTATTAAAAAAAAAAAAAGAAAAAAAAAAGCATATTTCTATTAAAAGTTGTTATTTTGATATTTGGTCACGATGTTCAATCACTAAAAAGCCCTTGCCCTACGCCTAGTCATCTCAAGAAATAAATTATATTTATTTATTTATTTATTTTGGATCGTAAATCAAGGCTGTGGCCACAAAATAATTAGTTTATCATTTAGTGGGATCCCTTTTTAAAAATAGTCCCACTTTTTCGTATAAAGCCTAAAATTTAGAAACGTGAAAATAATTTATTATTTTTAATTATATATACAAAATACACAAATTTATTAAATAAGTTGAATTTTTTTTTTTCGAAAAAAAAAAAAATTGATTGAGGCAGAGTCACATGTAATATCAGGCATGGCCTGTTTATTTCATGGCAAACTGACATGCACTGGGTACTTCTTCTCGTTCCTTCCAGCACCTGATCCCCTGGACTTCTTTCATTTTCCTGTCACAAAATTAATTTAATTTATGTGCATTCAAACTTTGGTTAATTATAATATTATTTACATAAAATGGGTGGTTGGAAGGTACAGACTATATGTTAAAATAAATATTATTTTTCTTAATTTTGGAGGGTGAAAATATTCTATATAAATCTAAACATTAGAAGCCAAGAGCATCAAGGAAAAGAAAAAAAGAACAAAGCTTTCCTTTTAAATCGTCGTAATTTTATCGGATAATTATATCAGTCTGCCAACGTGGCTATGGACCCACCATTTCACGAGGCTTACAAGAGTCTCTTGGCGGAAACGGCGGTGGATAGGGGAGGCGACGCTGTGGCGGTGAAGGAATGGGAGCTTCCGGTGGTTGATTTGAGGCGTTTGAGAGACGGAGCGGAGGCGGGGGAAGTGGAACAGTGCAAAAACGATATAATCAGAGCTTCTCAGGAATGGGGTTTCTTTCAAGTTGTGAATCATGGGGTTTCGAGTCAGGTTTTGGGTAAGATGAGAGCCAAACAAATTGAGCTTTTTAAACAGCCGTTTGAGCGTAAGAGTAAGGAGGACATGTTCTTGAATTTCTCCGCCGGAAGTTACTGTTGGGGAACTCCCACCGCCACTTCTCTCACCCAGCTCTCTTGGTCGGAAGCCTTCCATATTTCTCTGTCCGATATTCTTGGATCCAACGGCTCCGATGATCTCAGGTACCTTCCAAACATGCAAATCCATGCATTATTCCAAATTATTTAAACAAATTGGAAATTTTAGTGTTGAAAATTACATTTAAATAATTTCGAATAATTATATTCTGCTGTTAAACATTAAGCAGGTCAACAATGGAAGAATTCGCGGGGAAAGTTTCGAGGTTGGCGCAAGAGCTAGCGGAGATTTTGGGAGAGAATTTGGGGAGGAGCTCAAAATTCTTCGTTGACAATTGTGTGCCAAGCACGTGCTATCTCCGGATGAACCGGTACCCGCCATGCTCGGTTCCGGGTCGGGTATTCGGACTCATGCCTCACACAGACAGCGATTTTTTGACCATTCTTCACCAAGACCAAGTCGGTGGCTTGGAGTTGGTCAAGGACGGTGAGTGGATCGCCGTTAAACCCAACCCCGAGGCTCTTATAATCAACATCGGCGACTTGTTTCAGGTCAAATATATTTATTATTATTATTATTATTATTATTATTTTATTAATGAAATAATTATAATAATTTTAAACTTAATCAACTCTAGGCTTGGAGCAACGATGTTTACAAGAGTGTTGAACATAGAGTTGTGACGAACTCGAAGTTGGAGAGATTCTCAATAGCTTATTTCTTGTGTCCTTGGAGCGAGACGGTAATAAAAAGCAAATGCGAGCCTGGAGTTTATAAAAGGTTTAGCTTTAGGGAATTTAGGAATCAGGTTCAAGAGGATGTTCGGAAGCATGGTTTCAAGATTGGGTTACCCAAATTTGTCTTATGACGAAAAGACAAAAAAAAGACAATAAATGTGTTTTCTTTTTAAATAAATAAGTTATAAAGTAACATCGATACTGGTAATCATAGTTTTGTGACATACATCGAGATATATCATCTTACTTTAGAGAAGATATGACGAATGTTGTTCAAATGACTTTATCATCAAATCGAGTTTCATTAGAGTTGAGTTAAGTTGCCATCGAAATTGAAAGATATTTATTATTATTATTATTATTTTAAAGTCTGATATCATTTAAAATTTAAAATGTATTTTCGAGGGAAAGTGGAGAATTTAAAACTTTGGAAGGCTCATTGGATTGGGCCTTTTGACTTGGATGGGCTTCATGGAAAATCATTCTACTGCGCCATATGGCTGAAGCTTGCATGCAACAACGACGAGTCCAAGAACAGATTGGGTCAGCTCTTGTATGGCCCTGCAATGAAAGATCAAAAAAAGGGAGCGAAGATATTTTTGTGATGAACAAAGATGGAA